GCAAGAAACTACCCCTAGAGAGCTCGAAGCAACAGAGTCAGCTAACACCTCAGCTGCTGCTGCTGCTGCTGTCGTTGCTGCTGCTGCTGCTCTCGTTGCTGCTGCTGCTTCTGCCGCAATTGAGCCCAGCAGGAAACAACAGCTCCAGCACACTCTGTATACAGCCTTTGCTACAGAGGCTCACCCCTTCTGCACGCGTCTGTATGTCTGCTGCTACGCAGCACACTCAACAGCGCCAGGGTAAAGGGGGCCCCGCATGCATGCACGGGGGGAGCAGCAGAAGAGCAAGGAGGGTTTGTCTGGAGAAGAAGAAAGTCAAAATGCTGCTCTGAGCTGGTAACATGCAGCAGCAGCCGCTGCTTCGCTGAAATACAACAAACCGTCAGCCACCCCACCTACATACAAGGCGCCGCAGACTTGTATGAAAGCAGGAGAGAGGCACTGTTGTGTATTTTCTTCGTTGCTATTCCCGGCAAATGTATCCTACGAAACAAAGAAATGAATTAACAACAAATATATCAAAAAACGCCAACAAAGAGCCCCTTCTTACTGCTAGGTTGCCAGCTCTTCCGCCCGCACGGAGCTGCATTCTTCCCTCAGCCCCATAAAGAGAGCGTCGTGCTGAGATGAGAACGGCATTTGTTTGATGCTTTTCTGCTTGTTTCTTTATAAATTAATTATTAAATTTTGCTTTTTAATAATTATTTTCCAGAGTTTCTGAGTGTGGGGACCGGGCGTTGGTTGGCACGCGTAGGAGGAAGCAGAGGTATGACGGTGTCCACCTGGTTGCTGAAAACCAGCAAGCTGCAAAAGGTTATATTTCTTTGGATTCTTTCTTCTTTTTGTTTTGTTTTGTTATTTTCTTTCTCGTAATTGAGTTTCTGCATGAAAATTTCACGTCTTCTAGCCGGCAGAAGGGAAGAACACGACTCAAGAGCTCTCACCACCGGGTGAGTGTTACCCGCATCATCCTACGCCGCCCCAAAACGACGGAAACTCGCCGGAAAGCAGCGGTATTTGTTTCTGCTGAGGCGAC